AATATTGATAGTGACCAATCTGTTTGTATTTCAAAAAATTGTAACATGTTCCAATTAAATTAAATTAAAAAGAGAATAGTAAATAACTTAGTGTGTATTGCAGTTCATGTCATGAATGCTGTATGTAAGTGATATGCAAATTTATGCTAATTAGGCCGCCCACCAGCTAATTTGGATTGTGGAGAACACTGTGCCTGCATGTGTAACATGTATAAATATGGTTATTCATGATTACTTCAAAATTGAGTTTGTGTTATTTTCTCGAATTTTCACCAGCTTCTCGACTGGCGTTCCACAGCAGCGCACACAGAGCCCATAGAAATGCATGGTACAGTGGTGCGCATCTTAGCAACAGGGAACGTCTTGTGACGTAGCTCTTCCCCCAAGGATAGGAATATGTTGATGGTTGATATTTCAGTTATTTTAAACACAGAGTTCTAAAGTGGTTTCTTCATTTGTAGGAAGGAATCAGAAAAGAGCTGGAAAGAAGGAAAGTTGGGCAGAGTATACAGGAATTAAGTCGGAAGCAACAAGAAGAGAAGTCTAAAGAATTGGCGGAGGAAATTAAGAAACAGAAAGCTGAAGAAAAAGCTGCCAAACAGAAAATAAGAGAGCAGATTGCAAGAGATCGAGAAGAAAGAGCAGCACAGTTTCAGCAACAGAAGGAAGAACGAGTGAAAGCACAAGCTGCTAAATCTGAAGCAAAGAAGATTGAAGAACAACAAGTAAAACAGCAAACTGAACGTTCCAAAATGTGAGTTTAGAAATATTCCCTGAAAATATAACTGAAGGAAAAAATTTACAAGTTTATTTAGCATATTTGCTCTATTAGGAGCACATCTCCAGTTGTTGGCGCATGCAAACCCAAATCACATTTACATTATGCTGGATCATTAAAATTTGACTTTTTTGATATACCTCTGTTAATATAAATATTTATATTTATATAAGCGCTACTAATAGAGAGAATATGGTAGGTATCTAACCATCCATAATCAAACACATCCCCTGCTAGAAAAGAACAGAATAGAATGCCTGACATACATTGTGTTGCACCCATGATGCAATATTTTAATGTTAACAATAACAGATTATCTTCCTGCCTGGAAACACCAAGGAATGTTCACATGGCAGTGCAACCTTCTTTTGTTTTGTACTTCTCCTCTAACTAATCACATTCAGGCTGCTCTCCTTTGGTGGGAGATTTGTCAACCAATATGCCTTTTGACATTGTGGTCCTTGGTACTTATTCAATATAACAAAATGTTTCAGGAAATGGCCTTTCTTCATTAGTTCTGAATAAAGGTAGTTAAAAATGACAAGAATAATAGAAGATTACGTAAACATCACATGGTTAACATGTGGAATGAATTGAACTATTTATTCTTTCCTTTGTTTCCTGTCAAATTGATTTTTGTTGCCACTAACAATGCTAACTCCAGAAATACCGTATCCCAGAATGCAATTTCCACTGTAACTTAAAATTTAATAATGCTTGATATAGAGGTTCCATACAATGTAGTAGACTGCAAATGTTCGCCAAAACAATCTGCCATTATTCAATTTTGTGAAAATCATCAGTTTTAGGTAGCCTGGAGAAACCAGTGTCTCTGCCTTGTGAAATTCGCTAAAGTATGTTTCTAGTTCAATTCAATTACAGCAGTTTACAGTAAACCAATTTAAATGAAATCTATATACTCACCTTTTAACAATACAGCGTAATTGTACTGCTGTATATAGCCTAACTAATAGAAGCATAAATCAATATAGTCTCACTCAGTTGTTTTATTTTATTTTTGCAGGGAATCAGCACGTATTCAGTTCCGTTTACCTGATGGCTCTTCCATCATGAATACATTCCCCTCCGACAAACCACTATCAGATGCCAAGAAGTTTCTGTATGATGTAAGTTCAAAGGTCATGTCATATTCTGACATCAGTTATGAAAACCCTGTCATACAAAGTCAGATGTCTTAAAGTTTTAGATATCTTAAGCTCGATCTTTTCATTCACAGCATATTGG